AGGAAGGAAGGAAGGAAGGAAGGAAGGAAGGAAGGAAGGAAGGAAGGAAAAAGAAAATGAATTTGGATCAGGACACATTTGAACTTTACTAGGTAGATTATATTTATTACAAGGTGAGTCTTAATGAGACTCATTTAGATCATGCTAAAAGTTTTAGGTGCATATAATAACTACACAATTAGGTCCTCCCCTCTGTGTAGCTTTCAGTCCTTAAAGGTCTTCTGAGTGATAGGTTGGCCATATACTTTTGCTCCTAGATGTGTACGATGACACATTTGTATAGCAAGCTGTGAGATTCTAATATCAGGTGAAATAATCTAATTGTAAATTTTGTTTTCCAACAGATTTTTATCTGCCCTTCTCTGTTGAAATATGTTTGACCAAAGAGACAACCCTAAGTTCTCCCAAACCTACTCAGGAAAAAGAAAATATAGGAGAAAATTTTCATCTGTCTGCTCAGGCTTCTGTAAAGCTAAATTCTTCTTGGAAGAACAGACGTCAGCGCAAAACTACTCATCGATATTCTGTGAGGGATGCAAGGAAATCCCAAATCTCCACCTCTGATTCAGAAGGCAATTCGGATGAGAAGACTAGCACTATGATGAGGCACAGGAGACCACAGCTTCTGCAGCCTTTTCTAACAAACCAACCTAAAGAACAATCTGTTACAAGTAGATGTAACTTTCTAGAAGCTGAAATGGCTCAGAGCTGTAATTCTGGGAGGGAGAATGCAAACTCCAGACAGTTCATTCCAGTTCAAGAAAGTATTGTTCAGGCTTCAGATGAGCTGGTTACATCATCTGTCAGTTGTCTAGACAACTCTCCTTTTGATTTGTGCCATGTCTTACTGTCGTTGTTAGAAAAAATATGTAAGTTTGATATTGCCTTGAACCACAAGTCTGCATTGGCAGCCAGTGTGATAGGCACGCTAACGGAATTCTTGTCTAAGCTTGGAGATTGTTACAATATAAATAGTGCTGCTGAAAATGAAGCTGTTTCATCAAGTTGGACAGAAGAGTCAGTTGCTCTGGTTCAGAGGATGCTCTTTAGGACAGTGCTGCATCTTATGGCAATGGATGTTAATAATGCTGAGGCCATGCCTGGCAATTTGAGAAAAAATCTTACTGATTTACTTAAAGCAGCCTTAAAAGTGAAATGTATTCTAGATAAACTATGTCATTCTTTTGCTTCAAGACCACAAGAAACTTTACAAAACATAATTCAGGCTGACCTTTTCTCACAGTATCGCCACATATTCCTTCTTTTGCCTGAGTTCATAGAAGGAGTTCTGCAGATTCTAATCTGCTGCCTTCAGAGTGCAGCCTCTAATCCCATTTATTTTAGCCAAGCAATGGATCTGGTTCATGAATTCATACAGCAGCAGGGTTTCAAACTGTTTGAAACCACGGTACTCCAGATGGAAGGATTGGCTGCAAGGGGCACGGAGGTCAACACAGAAGCGTCAGAGTATCTCAGAGCCCTCATCAACAGCATTATGAAAATAATCAGCACTATCAAAAAGGTGAAATCGGAACAACTTCATCAGTCTGTGTGTACAAGAAAACGACACAGACGATGTGAGTATTCCCATTTCATGCATCACCACAGAGATCTCTCAGGACTGCCAGTTTCTACTTTTAAAAATCAAGCTTCTAAGAGTCCTTTTGAAGAAACAGCTGATGGGGAAGTTAATTATCCTGACCGGTGTTGCTGCATTGCTGTTTGTGCTCACCAGTGTCTGAGGTTGCTGCAGCAACTTTCTCTGAACAATACATGTTTTCAGATCTTAACTGGTATCCATAATGTAGGCATATGTTGTTGCATGGATCCCAAATCAGTAATTAGCCCTTTGCTTCATTCCTTCAGATCACAAATATGTAAGAATTTTCAGCCACATATATTAAGCATCCTTAATAAGTTTATTTTAGATCAACTTGGAGGATTGCAAATTTCTCAAAAAGTGACACATGCCTCTTGCAACATCTGTAGCATTGACTGTGATCAACTTGCGGAACTTGATGACTTCCTACATGGGAATGCTACTGAAGTATCAGCGTCAAGTTCATCAGCTCCATATAGGTTTCAAGGAATTTTGCCTAGCAGAGGATCTGAAGATATGTTTCTGAAATGGGATGCCTTGGAGGCATATCAGAGTCTTGTTTTTGAGGATGATGACAAACTGCGTTGCATGCAGATTGCTAGTCATATTTGTAGTTTGATCCAAAAAGGCAATGAGATTATTCAGTGGAAACTGTACAATTATATATTCAGCCCAGTGCTCCAGAGAGGTGTTGAATTGGCTCATTATTCCCAACAAACTGGTGCAGCTACTGCTTTTAGTCAAACAAGTGGCTATCAAAAAATATGTTTGCCTCAGGAAATCCTTCAAATCTATTTACAAACTCTACCAATACTTTTTAAATCCAGGTTTGTTCATTTTGTTCATTGGGGGGAACAAACATATTTGGCCAGTTTCTTACATACCTCTTTTTGATATAATAAAAATGGAAGCCAAGAATCTCATTGGTGATAATAAAGATAGGTGATGGGTAAAGTCAGAAGCTCCTACTCATGGACATCTCTCATTGTTTTTAGATGGCCTTGGATTAAACTTCTTATGGCCCTACTGAATTAAAGGAGTTATATTGATGTAGTATTTACAAGATTACACCCCATGCTGGATTGACATAAATGCCCAATTTTGGAATTCATTTGTACACTTCAGACTGAATCCAGATCTATATAAAGCCACTTTTATCTTCTCCTCCTCTCTGAGAACGGGGCTTGTGTCTTTAAAGACAAAAAAGTACATACATTTCCAGATGGTTAAGGCCATACCCGGAGGCCCCCTTAATGCTATGAGGGACTACTGCTTGATAGAAAAAACAGCTCCTGTAGTATTTGGAAATGTGTAAACACATATTCCAGTATTCCCACAGGGTGTGAATATGTTCAAGACCAAAATCTAGTATTCTGATAAAAGCTTGTATTTTAATATGCTTATTGCATCGTACTTCTCAGTTGCCTTCTTCATGTATTTAGCAATTACTTATTGAGGCCGTGCTTTGGAATATGAAGACAATGCGTAGTTTGGTAGCATAGGACATGCTTTGGGTTAGAAGATCCAAATGCAGTCCTTGTCATCTCCAAGAGTGGGAAAGCCGCCGGCTCAATCCTCCGCCTCCTCTCCCCACTAGCTTACCCACTAGTAGCTACAAGAAACTACTTATTAACAAACAAAAGGTTTGTAAAGGAACACAATTTAGAAGGATCAGTTTAGGGTTAATAAGCCCCCCCCAAATGACATATGGCATTATAATAAATATTTTTTCTCTCTCTTTCATTTAATTGATAACAATTTTATATCTATTTTTCTCCACAGAATAATACAAGAATTATTTTTAAACTGTAATGGAATAAATCAAATGACTGAATTAAATTACTTGGACAGCGTGAGAACATACTCACTGAAAGTATTTGAAACATTAATATTTTCTCTTGGAGACCAGCAGACAGATCAATTGATGCCAGATGTGGATGGTTTAGACAGTGAAGAAAAAGTGCCTGCTTTAGACTTAGGTGTTTCAGTTCATAGACAACAAGTGGTTTCAGATGTGCCTCAGAGCCTAAGTAAATTTTATGCTGGGCTCAAAGTCTATCCAAAAAAGAAGAAATCAGTCAATCAAGATGTTCACATCAACATGATAAATATATTTCTCTGTGTTGCTTTTTTATGTGTAAGTAAGGAAGCAGAGGCTGATCGAGATTCAACAAACGATTCTGAAGATACTTCAGGTTATGACAGTACGGCTAGTGAACCTTTCAGCCATAAGCTGCCATGTCTGTCATTTGAGAGTTTGTCTTTACCTTCCTTGGAACATATACACAGGGCAGCAGATATTTGGTCAATGTGTCGTTGGATCTATTTGTGCAATGCAGTCTTTCAAAGACAGTTCCATAGACTTGGTGGCTTTGAAGTATGTCACAGATTAATAGCCATGATTATAGAGAAACTTGGCATGAAAGGAGAAAAGGAAGAAGGTGAGCAGGAGAAGCCTATTGAATCTCTTTTCAAAAATTGCTCATTACAATTGATACTGAACAGTGAGAAAGGGCAGTCAGACCATAATAATATTGATGAAAATCTTGACAATATAGGTCAACAGAAATGGCTCTCTTACCAGCATTCTGATGCAGAGCAGGCTTCAGCTGATAGCACTGCAGAATCAAAAAATGTCTTAATGCAAGAAAATGACTGGTCGCTGCAAGGTATACGACTTTTGGAAGCTCTGCTGGCAATTTGTTTACACAGTGCAAATAATTTCCAGCAGAAGACCGAAATGGAGTCTCTTCTTCAGGTATTGTGCCATTAAAACCTCATGAAATATTTATGTTCCCATTTCTAATTGCCAGCTGTTTTAGAAAGTGGAACAAAAAATATCAGTTGTTTGGCATGTTGAAACAGTATATTATCCCATGAGAAGCAGAATTTTCAAGTTTAACAAATTTTATCAAAGGTTTCAGTTGACAGAATGGCATTTGTCAGCCATGAATGAATGAATGAATGAATGAATGAATGAATGAATGTCCATGCTATCCGCAATGCTGTGAGTGCTCCATATTCCTGAGCAGTTTTGAGGGGCTGGGTATGGTGCAGTTTGTAGCAAAGATAAGATCAAGGAGAAGTCCTCTGTGAATAAAGAGTGCAAGTAATTTGGATGTAGCCCACTTGCAGGAATATAATTGCAAATGGGCAGCTGAGAACCAGCATTTAAAAGAGAGTGTACGAGGTGATTCTGAGGAGAAAGCAAATGTTGGAGTAATATGAAGAAACTCTATAGAAAATGGATAGAAATGCATTTCCATAAACGGTCTGAGGGGAACAGAATGAAAGCTGCCTAGGGATAAGCAGCATGAATGCTTATTCACGGTGTATTTTTCCATTTCTGATATAGTATCTTTCTCCTTTTTTCCAAAATAAATACATTATTGTTTTTACTAACTTGGTTTGTAGGTTTAAAAAAATTGAACCATGTATATCATATCAGAATGCAACAGAGAAATTTAGAGGCTTAGTTGGAAATAGTAATTGTAATAGGAGCATAATATACAAAAAGCCTATTGAGAAATGAGTGTTGGTTCTTGCTTTCAGCACCTTTTAGAAATGTAGAATGCAAATGAGAGAAAAAACTATAGTTTTTGATAGCATTTCCATGAATCAAAAATTAAGAATAATTATTTGTGCTTTAATTTAGAACATTTGTGTGGAAGACATATTACTTGAAATGAGGGAACAGCTTGTAAAAGCTAGAATAATGGAAACAGCGTTGGTAAAGCCTTTATTTGATTCTTTGCTTCGAGTTGCATTGGGAACATATTTTACTGATCTGGATCGTTCCGAAGAAAAGAAGGAAAAGGTATAACTAGCTCAAGTTGCATGTTTCTTACTCTTTGCCTGCTTGTCCCCGGGCCCTGCAGTTATCAGGCTGCTCTTTTTGCCCTCAGGCATATTAGCATTCTCTTGGAATAGGTAGCATATACATTCTAGCTGAGCTACCATTACAGTAACTTTGAGTGCCTTCCAAGATTTCTGCCACAATTTGACTCCTCGTTCATGTTCTTTTCAAATACAGTCTTGTTTTTTAGACGTTTTGGAAACAACTGGAACAGAATACTGGACTAGATGGGATTTTTCATCTGATCTAGCATGGCTTTTTGTTTAGTCTGCAAAACGCTGGGCCAGCTAGGGAGCCTGGTGAACTGGAAGACCGTGAGCCAGAATGTGTATGTGAATTTCAAAAAGCAAGATATCGAACTTACTAGCCTAAATGCTCCCTTATCTACTTATCTGTTTGCTCCATTTAGCATGAATTCAGGGTCCCTATATCTGTGTTTTGTCTGCTATGTTCTACACATGTTTAATCTGAAAATATTAAGGGATTGAGATATCTAATCAGATATGGGAGTTAGTATATCCAGTCAGATATTTTCTATCCTATTTTACCTGTCAATATTTCAGCATAGCTCTCAGTGCTAATCTATGAAAGTAGATGATAGCCTAATTTCTAACGGCACATTTTTAATTTCTGTAATATGCATGTCAGATCCATCAGTCTGAAAAGGAGCCTGCATCTCGGCCTGGTGATATATCTGAAGAAGCTGATGAGTCACAGTGCTATTGTTTTAAATTTTTTGCTGAAGAAAAAGGCTATGATGCTGATAGTGAAAGTAATTCTGATGACAATGAAAGCAAGGATGAAGGCAAGTGCTTGAGCTCTGAGTCCTCTTGAAATCCCTTTTGCACTGAAATAGCAAAGTGTAGAGTATTTTTTCTGCAGTTGATGATAACAGCCTTTAGATTACAGGCATGTTCAAGTGTTGTCTAATAAACTGTTTCTAAAATGTCCCATATTGGCCTTTTGCTATATTTTCTTCTCCTAGCTTATCATTATACTCTGCTGTTTGAGTCATAAATCGAGGGGAATATAGTGACAACTGCACCAGTGACCTGGAAAATTCTGTAATAGCATTATTATTAGAAAATAGAAGCCGCTACTATATTTCTTCCATTCTTGTTTGCTTCATAATTTTGTTATTCAAGAATACAACTCAGAAGTTTTCATTTTTTGCTTATGGGAGCTGTATTCTATAAGCCTTATGTGGTGTTTTGAAGTACAAGGCAACCCTTTATAAACTGTCATTTTCTAGAATAGTTTTCCTTGAAATAGGCATACAGCATTTGCATGCAGCATTGTTAATGAACAAATAAGCCAATAAAGAGCTGTCAAAATGGCCAGTCAGGGTAGTGGTGTTATGCAGTGCATGTCTCTATGTGCTGGTCAACCTCATGTCTAATGCCAGGTCTGTCTCACTGCATACGAGTGTGTCTGATTTACCCTTTACATTTCAGTGAGATCATTGTATGCTACAAGTTTACTTAGGACCTTGGACTGTGTAGAAGATTTGGTTTCTAATAATCCATCCCATCATCAAGTAATGAACGTTGTTGAGTAGTAGCATAAGGCTCACAAAGAAAGGCAGGTAGGGCAAACAGCCTCTGAATAACTGAATTTCCATATATACATTTTTTTTTTCCAGGAACAGACATTAAAAGAGAGAAAGGATGTTTTGGCTATTGCAGTGTTCCTAGTGATCTTGCTGAAAATATTATTCAAGGAGAATTGATATATCCTGAACTATGTATGCTGGAATTACATTTACTTTCTGTTGGCAATCCAAGCCTAGATGTGCTCGCTCATGTCTTCCACAACTTCTTGAAAGTAGTCAGGTTGAAGGAAAAAAATGCAACATTATTAATGCAACAGGTAAATGGCCTTGTGGCTGGGTTCACACAACATGCTAGGCACAAACACAGCTTTACAAAATCCTTCTGTCCAAACAAAGAAACCACATTATGATAGTCTAGTTCATAGAATGTGTCAAGCACTAAACCCAACTTTACAAAACTCAGTTGCTCAAAGAAAGCATGTAATGGTTTAATATAATGGCCTAGTTCACGCAATATGCTAATACAATGCAAATTTGGGGGGCTTTTATTTGAAATTTAGGATTGCTGTCAGAACTTGCATCTATTTTACCTAGACTAACTGACCATTGGCTTGTCCAAGCAAAATGGGAAGGAAAGCGTTTGGTGCAGTCTGACAGGGCTCTGGCTTTGCTCTCTAGTTTGTTTGAATAAGCCAGCTGCCAATGAGTTCTGATTTTATATGTTTAACCTTCATGGCTTGGACACCCAAAGCTGAATCGCTATCATACTTGCTCCCATTTTGCCTTGGCTTGTCCGAGCAAATCAGAGAGTGAGTCGGGAGATTGACTGATGGCTTACAGATACTAAGCTGCATCACTGGCAGGACTTCCTCATGTTGTGCTTGGATAAGCCAAGAGCAAAATCAGGATTTTCTACAGTTGCTCCTGTAAAGTGCAGGTATCAATTCAAAATAGTAGAATTAAAAATGAGAATGGCTGTCTCAAACATTAGCAGATTTTAGAAATAATGCAAAACTCAGCATTTTCTTCCTATTATACATATAGTTTTAAATTTGGTTGTTTTACTGTTTATTTCCAATTAAAAGATTTTATTTTATAAAGTTGGAAGGTTCTGTCATTGTTTTATTTGCTAAAGGGATTGAAATGTAATTATTAAAAGTACATTTATTTCTTACCCAACCCTAATCCCAGGGAAATCTTTATTTAGGAAGGTCACACAAATTCATTTATTATTTAAGGAGGTCACATCACTCAAAGTTTGAGAAGCCCTGTATTAAGACAGTGGCTGGCTTCTCATAACATCCTGATCACAAACTACCTGCCTCATTTTAATCAGTATAGGGCAGTGTTTCTCAACCTCGGCAAGTTTAAGATGTGTGGACTTCAACTCCCAGATTTCCCCAGAATGCTGGCTGGAGAATTCTGGGAGTTGAAGTCCACACATCTTAAACTTGCCAAGGTTGAGAAACACTGATATAGGATGTTATGCCAACCAAGCCAATGAGTTAAGGGTTCCATCTAGCACAAATCTTGGTTTGTTTGAGGCCATAATTCAAAATGTTGGTGATGAAGAGTTTGATGCACAATACTTTAGAGACCAGCACTAAGTTGCTCACGCTGTAAGATTTGATGGAGAAATTATCCTCTGCATTGATGAGAACAAGAGAAATGACTCATCAGTAGCCATACCTAAGCTGTAAAAATTTCCTGCCTTGGGATGTCAGGCACTGGTTTTCACAGACTGACTAATACCTTTCTATTTGCAAAAAAAGCATTCACTTCACAGGGAATATAAATGTTTTCTATTGTATCTCCTGTTTTACCAGCTTGTGTGTATGTGTTTATTTTTCTTATACATGATTTTAGTTATGGGCTGTTAGTTGTTTTAAGTGGTGAAAATACATTAGCAAGATGAGATATATATTGCTTTTATATTTTATTTATTTATATGTCACATTTATATAGCCACCCATCTCACACAACATGGCTCTGGGCAGCATACAAATTTTATATTCACATTTATGTCTGTTCATGAATTGCTTGGACAGGAAGGGCAAGAGAGATATTCCTACAAAGCCTAGAAAAAAGGGAAATCAACTGACAGTTTGAGGAACCTTCAGCTTTTCAACTAGAGGAAACTTTCAGGGGATCCTTATCCTAGCCTTCCCAGCTCCCAAACAGTTGTCATCATCTGCTTTAGGAGAATTATTGGTGAATATGTTCATATGACAATGCCCATTCACTCTGGATGATTAGTGGAAACTTCCTCGTTACACCAGATTATTGGGATGTGCAAAACATTCTGGTATTTCCCAAAACATTTTCTTTTGCCTCTTCAGAATATGTTAATCAAAGCGTTCCAAGAATGGTTTGTTTCTGAAAGTGAATCTTCTGGAACACTAAGTAATTCACTGTGTTCTAAATGTGTTCATAATGATAATCTATTGGGCTCCAGACCACAGATAACTCTCTTTGGTAGAGCATTCACTTCCAAAAATAGAGGAACTGAAATCAGGCTGCTCCAGAACAGTGAAATTTTCCAGCAAACAGCAGAATGTCACTCAACTACCAAGTTAATATTTGGTTTCATATTCCACTTCCTGCTAACTAGAAATGGTTACCACTCCTAATTTAAGTGTCACACCTGGCCTTAGGTAGGACTTAAAGCATGTTTAAAGGACTGCTTTGGATAAGGAGTCAGATGACAGTGTACATTGTCCTATTAATCATTTGGAGGGCTTTAGCATGTTGGGTAAACTAGGTCACCTTGTTCTGCTATCAGCAGCCATTAAGCCAATGCCCAGGCTTATCTCACGTCTATTCATATGCCCATCAACCTTACATTAAATAAAGAGAGAGACTGACGTTCTTAATTGGCATGGAAACAAAGGATTGGGAATAAATGTGGGTGTGATGGATGAGAGCATTAATTACGCAGCCTACTGACTATGGAAGCACTATGTTGGTGGAGAATTTAGAGAAGAGGTGTAAGTGTACAATGCTTGATGCAAATGAGCAAATTGTTTTAGATACACATTTATATGTCTAGGCTACAGTCTGTGCATCTTATCACTTGATGATGAGCTTGATAATGTGAAAACATTATTATAAGCTTGAGGAAACAGAGGCCAATACAAAGGGATTCGTAAAAATATATTGAAAGGAACATTGGGGTTGGCATTGTTACTCATTTAGCTGTAATATATTGCTGGACAGTATTTCCCCATCACTGCTGGATATTCTGTTAATTCATGATAAGCATTTATTTATATATTTATTTATATATTTATATATTTATTTATTTATTTTGGTTTATAGGGAGCTGTGAAGAGCCTTCTGGGAGGATTCCTCCATGTGTTAACCCAAACAGATTCCAGTTTTCATGGTGAGCTGTAAATAAAAACAGTAATTTCCTTTTGATCTGCCTTAACACTTGGCAGGTATTCTTAAGATACAAAAATTTTGAAATGCTAGATGTTCATAGTTATGTATTTTCACAGTGTATGCTTCTAATATGGGCACAATCGAGCAAAGCTAAGCACTTTAAAGTTCTAATGATTTCAGTGAGAGAGCATTAATAAGGTAGTTAAATTACTAATGAAATACTGAGATTTAAATGTACTTCGTTCTGTTGGATTATGTCCTGCATTTGTCTGTAAATGAGCATTTAACTTCATATTTGTCCCAGGATGATGATCGGATTGTGCTATGAAAGTTATTACTCAGTTCTTAAACTACCTGTTCAAACATTCTCCATTACATTTCACATTCGAATGAGTTTCAGAAGACAGCCAGTTTTAATCTTCAATTTAAGGAAGATTTATAACCATGACAGCAATAATCCCTGTTAGGCAATAGCCTCATTTAGGTTCAAGGTTCTGTATTTTTTTTTTCTGCTTTGATAAATCTCTTCAAATTGATAGGTAGATATTTAAAAAATCATATAAGAACAATGAAATAAATGACATTAATCCAAGAAAATGGCTTTTAGTATATGTTGTGTTCTTCATGATAGATTATTTACTGAACAATAATATGACTTCAGTTGCCTGTTTTGACTTACCTGGAAAATGACATTTTGTATAGATGCTTCAGTTCTACTTATTTTACCATAGTTTGGGTTAGGTCTGAAGGCACATAAATAGGTTTTCCTCACAGCATTGTTTAAGATAGCCTATCTGGTATCTTCCGCGGGGGGAAAAACCCCTGCTTACAATGAAGTGGTACAACTCAAACAAACTATATCTCATTTGGGGTGAAATCTAATATCCCTTATAGAGTCCTACAAGCAAAAAATTCTGAATATAACATATCATATTATCCGTAGCTATTTCAAGTTGCCTTACCCTTGCTACTATTAATGCAACCCAATGGGTGTAAAATACACTTACCCGTTCTTGTGCATTATGCATATGTATAAAGATATTGTCATCACTCTAATACCTTATTCATTCACATTTTTACATCATTATTAGGCAAAAAAAAAAAAAAATCTTCTAGAGCAGCATGTCTTTGTGCTCATACTTCCACACCAGAAGTCATAGCAGTGAAGAAGCAAGAGATAGATAGGAAGCAAGGAATTTTTCCTAATTACAAGTCTAGGTAGATGTTGCTTTCAGTTATTTCTTTTGTTGTAAGAAAGATTTATCCAGCAATGTAGGGATTGCTGCTGGGAAGAATATGAAAAGCCTTAGAAGCCACATTGAGTGGCTTATTGGATCAAATTTGTTGGATTGCAGCCTATTTTTAATAGCTTTAACAGTGTTTAGTATAATATGGAATAATTTTAAAACCACGATTCTGCTTTTCAGTATGTCAGAAAACATTAGTGGATCTGCTGGTTTCTCTGATGAGTTCAAGTACATCTTCAGAAGAGCTCACACTTCTTCTAAGGATCTTTTTAGAAAAAACACCTTCTACGGTAATATGTTAATAGTACAAGGGTAGTACTTTGAATTGAAGTTAATTATTGATTTAATATTTGTGTTTTATTACTGAGATTGTCAAATAAATTAGCATGTTACCCTGTAACTGATAGTATGCAGTGGTACCTCGGGATACGAACTTAATCCGTTCCGTGACTCTGGTCGTAACCCGACGCAAATTTCCCCATAGGGGTCAATGTAAATCCGGTTAATCCGTTCCGCCCTCCGAAT